AGACATCTCAAACAACACAAAAATATTGCTCATCTGAATCATGGAAAAGAATTTCACTGTTTTTGGCCTAAATGTCAATACAAGACACAAAATAAAAAATGTTTAGCTTCACACAAATTAATTCATTTAAAAATAAAACAATTTAAATGTGATTTTAATAATTGTAATAAAAGTTATAAACATCAGAGACATCTCAAACAACACAAAAATATTGCTCATCTGAATCATGGAAAAGAATTTCACTGTTTTTGGCCTAAATGTCAATTCAAGACTTTAAGAAAAAATATTTTAACTCAACACCAATTAATTCATTCTAAAATCAAAGCATTTAAATGTGATTTTAATAATTGTGATAAAAGTTATAAAACATATTCAAATCTATATCAACACAAAAATAAATGTCACTTTAATGTGAGCTTTATTTGTGATTTCAATGAATGCCACAAATGTTTTACAACAAAACAACATTTATTTCAACACAAAAGTTGTGTTCATTTGAATGAAAGAAAATTCAAATGTAATGAAGAAAATTGTAACAAAAAATTCACAACAAAACATCAATTATTTCAACACAAACTCTTACATTCGGGAGAAAAACAATTTATTTGTCAATTTAATAATTGTAACAAAAGTTTTATATATAAATCCGAATTCACAATACATATGAGAAGACATAATAATATAAAACTTCATAAATGTATTCATAATAACTGTAATCAACGCTTTGTTACGAAAGCAGAATTAAAATCACATGTAAATCACAAACACACATAAGTAGTGCACAAAATTTAATGTAACTTTTCTTCTTATTATTATTAATTTTAAATATTTAATATAAAAAGCCATAAATGTATTCTTAATAACTGAATATTCATCAATTATATAAATTAATTTACAATTATTATTATGACATTTAAATGAATCCAATTTTTAATGAATAAATAGATGTAAAATTAATTGTTGTTAATTTTTAAATTCACATTTAAGCCTAAATACAGCAAAATATTGCAAAAAAGTGAACAAATATAACAACAAATATGTTATCAAAAAAATATGTCATAAAAAATGTCAAAAAGTAAATATTTTACAAATAAAATCAATTAAATTAACACAACATTAACTATATATTAAAAAACACAATAAAATGCTTTTTAGCCCTCTTATGATCGGCCAAACCCATGGATGTGACGAACCCTTTACCGCACGTCTCGCACATCGACATCGACTGTACCATTGAGTGGACAGACTTGTTGTGACGGAACAGCTTTCTTGAGTTTCTAAACGGGCGGTCGCATTGACTACACGTCCATTTTGTGGGGTTGGGCATCGGCTGCGAGTGGACAGCGTATTGATGGCCAATCAATTGGCGCCTCTTCTTAAACGACTGGTCGCACTGATCGCACGGGTAGGGCGAGTGCGAGTGGACAGACACCCGATGTTTGTAGAGTTGGTTGTCGTTTGGGAACCACTTTTTACACTCGGGACAGATTCTGCATTTGTGCCGCGACTGGTGGTGAACGCGGATCATGTGTTTGGCGAACCATACGCCCGACGAGTACCGCATCGGACACTGTTTGCACCGAAACAGTTTCGGTTTCGTTTTGGGCACCGGTTTTGTCTGTTTTCGGACCAGTTTTGCCGCTTTGCGCACCCATTTCGGTGGTTTGCGTCTCGGGTGATGAGCGGCCATATGGTGTGCGCGCAGAAACCCGTTGGCAAACATTATGTCACACTTCGGGCACCGCCGACACATCAGCTTATGTTCCGCCAATTGGTCGACCGTATTAAACGATTGCGTGCATCGATCGCACGGATGCGTACGACTGACCAGTGCTGATGGTGTCTCCGCTGGTGTCACTGTTTCGCACATTGTTTTGATATCAAAACTGACGGTCACTTTAGACTCCGCTAATGGCAGGCACTGGCCGTCAGCCTTATCTCCGGTCAATGATTGGCCGCAATTGTGGCGCCGATACTCAGCCACTATTTCGAGTCCAATGTTTTCATCACTACTCGTATCGCAAATCCTAATTGCGGTTAAAAATTATAATACAATTAATGTGTTATTTATTAACTCATAATTCATAACAATTACTCAATATATTTCTCATCTGATTTGTGGTCAGTTATCGGCGGCTTTGTATCGACGGTGTGTTTGGGTTCCGGTTTGACAACAATTACTTTGAGATCAGGTTTCAGATCACTATAGATATAGAGAGTAAAAACACAATCAATGAATTGCATAAATCAATGGCTATTAATATAATATACCTGTTGTTTGGATCAGTGGTGGCAGTAATTGACTGCACCGGTAGGGCAGTCGTGGGCTCTACCAGTCTATCATCAGCTACTTTAGTGTCCATAGGAATTGTCTCAATAGGCGTCTGTAGTGTCTCTGCGGCCGCCGTGTGGTCTGTGAATGGCTTTATATCAGTCGTGCTTTTGGGCTCTGGTTTTGTGTTTATTACTTTGAGATGAGAGTCCAAACCACTAGATATTAAGTAAAGCTAATTAATTAATGGCTTAAACCAATGAATAGTATACTTGTTTGGATGGGAAGCAGAGGCTGACTGCACCGGTAGGGCAGTCGTGGTCTCTACCGGTTTATTATCAGCTATTGTAGTGTCCATAGGAATGAACGGGACGTTAACTTCGGTCTCAATGGGCGCCTGTAATACATTGTTTACACGAGTGGCCGCCGAGTGGACAGTCAGCCGCTGTTTGTCGAGCGCTTGTTTGGTGTAATATGTTTGAGTGGACGAGTCGTACCCATACTGTCGGCCACCGACGGACGAGTGGACAGAAAGTCTATGTATTTTCATCGCCAGTTTAGTTTTGAAACTTTTGTCGCAGCCGTCGTGCGGACAGCCGTACGGTTTGGCCGGCGACCCAAACGCCGACGAGTGGGCGCTCCGATAAAACGTATAATTTGAGACAACTGTCCGCCGATATGTCCGGAGATCACGTGTTTTACGTATACGACTGGCGGCCAACTCAACGACACTAATTGTTACAAAAGACAACATTATATCATAACTAATGTATTGTTTATATAACTGTTATAATTATAAGTTTAAAACAAATACTTTATTATTAGTCTATTTGTTTTGCGATCAGCGGTCGGCGGCACCGACTCTGTGGTCACCCGGTGACTGGCCTTCGGTATGACAGCTATTACTTCGAGATCAGTGTCTAAATCGCTGGCTATTGACGGCAAATGAATAACAGGTTCACCGGTAGTCGACAGCGGGTTATCGGTGGCCGACTTGTGACCAGTATTTGCCTTAATAGTACTGTTTGTGAGAAATAAGTGTAAATTATTTAGTGTTTTAATTGAGTAGTGATTTAAACAGTACTTAAGGCACGGGTTGTGGTCCACGAGTGAAGTGTTGAGCAATTGTTGATCACTGAGTGTTTGGTGTCCAGCGGTCGGCGCCGGCTCTGTAGTCGCCCGTATGGGCTCAGGTATCGTATCTATTACTTCGAGATCAGTGTCTAAATCAATGACAGTTTGGCCGGTATTCGGCAGCGGGTTATCGGCAGACGTGTGACCAGTATTTGTGTTAATACTAATAGTTGTCAATAAATATGAATTAAGTCTTATTTTAAATGAGTAGTGATTTAAACAGTACTTAAGGCACTGATTGTTGTCTACGAGTGAAGTGTTGGGCATTTGTTGGTCACGGAGTGGTGTAAGTGTTTGGCCGGTGTTTACCGCCGGTATTGTGTCCACGATTTCGATATCAGTGTCGGAATCGCTAAATATTATGAGAAAAACATATAAACAATTAAAACCATGACTTAAAGTAACCTAAAATAACACAACACATACTCATCGCACGGGTTGTCCAGCGATTGGTTGTCGGGACTGGAAGTGGATGTGATTGTCGGCACCATTGGTGGGACAGCCGTAGTGGCCATTGACTGCTGTTGGCTGTCATCTGCGGCTGTTGTCGACTGTTCTCTGGCATCGGTTGAGCTAACAATCGGTTCCCGAGGAGTTATGTCTTTGACGGCATGTTTGCGGTGTTTGTGTGAATCCAATAGGCTTTGAATGGCGAACCGTTTGTCACATTTATTGTAATCGCATTTAAAGAGCTTTCGGTGGACGGCAAACAACTCTAGGATTGACTGATAAGTCGTCGGAAAACTGTTTGAAAGACACAACAGTTGTGACAATAATTGTCAGACAATTGAAGACATGGTTTGTCACAATCCATACAAACCTATCACTCGATGACATCCAGAAGAATGTGAAGACAACACTCACGAAGACATCACTACTTGTGTCCACACAAACGCAACAATCAATAAATGATTGATAAATATATTGTCTTTTGTTTACCAAACAATTTGCGCTCAATATTTTGTTTTGTCGCATAAATTACGGCTCATTATTATTACTGTGTTTTGAGACCCCTTTCAACGCAAACGTATAGCAAATGCATTACGTTTTAAGTCAACAATATATGACGTTATTCATAGTCAACACAGAATATACAGTCGACTTTAGATAATAGTAAACATGTTTAGTAAATTAAAATATTAATTAATTTTTGTAATTAATTGTATATGAAAGGTATATCATCTAGTCCAAATCAATTAATAGTTTGTTATTAATTCATATTTATAAACAAAACAACGCGTGATTCATATGTTTTTAATAGACAATAGATGTTAATAATCAAAGAAAATATCAATTAATAAATATTATTGCTATAAATTTAGTCCCCTTTCAATACAAATCTATACTAAATGTTATTAATTTTTGTAGACTTTATTTGTTAATTATTAGTAATATTTTATTACAGTAATTTAATGGTTTATAAATTGTTTCATTAAATTATGTTAAAAATGAGTGTTTTTGAAATGAAATGTAAATTAAATTCAATGAAGAGTTTGTGTGAAATAATAGATAAAATTCAGTGTATTTTGAATACAAATAATAGTGTTTTGT